GCATAGGCATCCATTTAGTTTTAATATGGTCAGACGGCGCAGCAACATAATTTTGAGTGGATGTGATGTCATGCACATCTGTAACTTTGTTTTTGGACTCCTGTGGCATCACATAATTCAACAGTATTCACTGCTTTGAAATTTACTAGCTTGTTGTGGCCTTTAAATGGTCCAGATACATTTAGATATGATTTTTTTGTATATATATGTATATGTATATACATACATACATACATACATACATACATACATACATACATACATATTGTTTAGGCCCAGTTGTTTGTGTTCTTTCTTTGCTTCTTGCATTTTCACTTGAGACTTAAATGGGGGAAAAAAGTCTCCCTATTGTGCATATTTTGACTTTGAAACCGAGCAGCAGCTTTTCAAAGAAGAGCCAGAGAAAGGGCCTCAGAGGTTTAAGACAGCCTGCAGCTACCTCTAACACTTAGGAGTGTGTAGAGACTACTTGGGTGTTTTAGACAGAACTTTCTGAAAGTCGGTCTTCACCAGTCACAGCATATGTAGATGAGCTGCAAATCTACTCACCCAGATAAAACAATGTAAAGATAGTGTATTTTGAAAAGGCCAAGGCTGCAGCATCAGCAGATAAGACACCACTGTGTATGAAACCTCTGTAATGCTGTGCACAAAGCCAGGCCACTGTGACAGAAATTTGGAAAGTTCAAAATAAATCAGACAAAAGTTGCAGGCCAGCTGCTGACTCTGTAGCCCGGAGCAAATGTTCTCAAAGTTGGGAATCTCTTGTTGAACTGGATTCATTCTGTAGAGAAATGGTAACTAGTGAACCTTCCTGGAGGCCTTTCAACTGGTCCTTGTTCACATTCAGAGTTGTAGCCTGGAACTGGGCTCTGGAGGCAGACGTGCTTAGTGGGATTTCTTTTTAATAGTTACGTACAGGCATTTCAGCAACGGCATTATTAACAGCGTCATTTTTTCTCATTTAGTTTTGTCCTCAGGGGAGACCAAACTGCTCCCAGAGGAGGGAAGAAAAGTCCAAGGTTATTTATTCATTTCAGTTGAAAAGCAGAGGACTGGCAGTAGGTGGGGAAACTAACCAGTTGTGAATTCTCCAGTGGGGGAAAATTGCTCCTCTAATTTGACAGTAGTAGTTTAAGGGCTCAGAGAGCTGGGCATGATTCTGCAGTTCCCATCACGCACAGGCAGTCTTAGCACTTGCTGGCTGTTTATATATGCATTTTTGGGGGAGGGTTTTGGTGGTGTTGCTGGTGGATATAAATCTATGTTTTCCAGGCTACATTTGGAGGAAAGAAAGGTCCCTGGGTATGACCCACTGGACACCTGCAGTTCTGCAAGCTTGCTTCCTGAGGTCAGAAGGTCACATGTCTCTTTTGTATTCAGTTTTTAAAACACTGATATTGGCCATGCAGCTAGGGTGTATGGGATCCTTGAACCTCCCCAAAAATCACATGCAAGAGCTAAAAAAATGTAAGTAGTGGTGTACATTGAAAGTGACAGCTTTGCTAAGCTCGGAGAAACTTAACATAAAATCACCAGGCTTTGTAGTCTGTCTCTGCAGCTTCTTTAAAAGAAGAAAGAGTAAAGAAAACAAAACCAAAAAAAAAAAAAAAAAAAAAAAAAAAAAGAATCAATATCAGGCGACACTTGAGATGTCAAATGCCTCTCTGGAGGTCAGAGAAAGACTCAAACTGGGTGGCAATGTGTGTTTTGTAATATATGGTTGGGTTTTGTGAACCCAGCCACTACAAATCCTGACTTTTCTTTTAGAAAAATAAACTTCTCTGTCAGAAAAGACATCCTTCCCTATGTGGCAGCAAAGAATAGTTCAAGAAGGAGATCATTAGGAATATGGCAACAGACCTCCATGTAGCCAAGAGGGCAGGTTTTGAGTTCAGTGTAGGTGGCCTGTCATAGCCCCCAGTGCAAGAAATGGAGAACAGAGAGTTTCAAGGAGGCAAGGACCAATGGCTGTGTGTTTGGCACATTTTGACAAAATCAGAAACTTTCAGATCAACTTGAGACCTACTTTTATAAAACATACATACTTTACAATCCTTTCTATCCTCCTTAGATTTGAACAGATTGATGTTTCTCAAAGCAGAGGGGGCTGACAAATGCTGAGAGAAGTCAGAGAAAGCAGAGGTCCCATGAGTTCAGATTTCCCCAGAGCAGTCTCCTAGGATTCTCCCGGGAAAGGCCTAGAGTGACCTGAGCTTTGGGCAGGCAGCAGCACTTGGGGCCCAGGTGTCAGCCCTCCTGCCTGACTCCAAGGTCTGAAAGTCAAAGCCTTCCACACCCAGGACCCTGAGCCTTCTTTCCCCGATATCTATTGTCCATTCTTCATTCTGGTTTTCCTCACCTCACTGTTACATTGCTTCTTCTGTTTTTTTTTTTTTTTTTTTTTTTTTTTTACTTGGAGACAAATCAAAACCCCAAACTACAAAGCATCCCCTATGGCCATTAGTATGTACCCCAGCCATCAGCACTGTACAAACACAGACAGGGGACACCTGAAAGTGGTCAGCCTCTCAGGGATGGGCCTGGGAGGCCTGGACCCTTAGCTTCATTGGTTCTTACCTGTGTCTGACGCTGCTGCTTCTCTGCCCTGGTGCGCTGCAGCTTTTGTGAATTCTTCTGTATAATGGTATCAGTTTTTCATTTTTCTTTCTTTCTTTCTTTTTTTTTTTTTTAAAGCTTGTGAGAAACTTTTGGATGCAAGGTAGTTTTGATGGCAAAAGGAAATAGATTCTGTTGGGAAAGAAGACTAAAAAAGAAAGGTAGGGATGTCTGGAGGCACTTGCCCAGGGCCCAGCACTGGGCCTCTTTTGCCAGGGGACAACGGCTGGTTCTGGGCTCTGGCTGAAAAGAGTGCTCTCTGGGTGCCAGGATTTCGCTGGGGGTGGTGTAGTGAGGAGGGAGGGAGGGAGGAAGGGAGGGAAGCAGAGAGATGGGCACTGGATTTTTAAAGAGACCCTGAAATAATGGCTTCTGTAAGAGTCCAGGCATTCAAAGAGGTGTGTTCAAGGACATGAGTGCATTCGTGCCAAGGGGAATGTCTTTTATGGTAAATTAACTCCAGTTAAATTGAATATTTGTTCAAAGGGAAACTCCAGTAGTTAAAGCTGGTATTATCAGTGCAGCATCCCCCGCCCCCTCCCGCAGAATCTGGTGAGGGTGAGAAAAGGGATGCAACTCAGTACAAAGTGATGCTTTGGGATTGTTCGTTTTTACTTTTATTTTTTTTCTCTGCTCTTTCTTTCTTTTAAAAGTTAAGATGAGGTTGCCTAACATTTATGAGAGAGGAGTATTTATTTGGATTAACCCCGACTGTCACCTCCTTTCATCTATAAAGACTGTCAACTTTATCCCAGCTTTTCAAGAAGAAGAAATGACCGGTACAAAGGAAATTAACGTTGTCAGAACGCTAACAAGAGGATTTGCTTAGCGGGGGCAGGGAGGCCGCTCCCCGCGGCGCGTGCCCGAAAGGGTTAACTGGCCCGTGTTCTCACAGTTTCCCCGACTTTACCTGTCCTCCCAGACCCGCGGCCCTCCCCGCCTCCTGGCCTCCCCACCCCCTGCGCCTTTCTTCACCGGGCTCTTGGTTTACAGGGGCTGCAGCTGGTAGACTTGGCAAGCTCGCCTCATTAAGAGCGCTTTTTGAAAACGGACTGTGTTTGAGCATTTCCCTAATGAGGACAGGACGGGGTTAAAAAGTGACCATTTCATGGTTGACTTGAACCTGCCTACTTTTCTTGATGTGTCGTTGTGAAATGCTTGATGTGGGTAACTTCCACTTGGGGAAGGAAAAAGTCACTGGTTCTTTCAGGTCCTGGTGGGGGGGGGAGGGCACGGTGGTCAGGAGCTCGAGGACCGGAGAAAGTTGAGGGGGAAAGTACGGGGCACAGGGTGGGAGCGGGAGGCCGCGGGGGGCCTGGAAACGCTCGGCGGCCCCAAGCTAGGTCGCCGCGGAGCCCCGGGCGCTCACTTTTCTTTCTCCATTGTCTGGGTAGCCTTTGATTCCTCCACTTCCCCACCCACCCCTAGCGGAAACCCGGAATTTGGGGGGCGGTGTGTGTGGGAGAGAGTGCCCGCGCGAATAGGGGTGCGGGCTCCGCCGCCTTCTCTGTCCCAGGAATCAAGTTCATTCACTCGGCGGGGGGGGGGGTTGGGGGGGCGGGGCGCCGGCGGGAGCTCTGCCTCGGAGGGCCGCAACCGCACACGCACCCGGCGCGCTCCCGCCCCGCAGCCCCGGGCGCGCCGCAGCCCCGCCCTGCCCGCACCCCCGCGGGAAGGGAGCCGCTTTCCGCCGGCGCCCCGGGCTCTGGGGGTGGGGATTGGGACGCCGGCCAGCGCGGCAGGAGGAGGAGAGGGGCCGGGCGCGCAGAGGAGGGGCGAGCGGTGGCGGCGGCGCGGCCTTCCCGCTCCGAGCGCGGCCACGTGCACTGAGCGCCGGGGGAGGGCGGGCCGCCGCGGCGAGGCCTGGGGGCCCCAGGGGGGACCCCGCCGCCCCTCCCCGTCCGTCAGCTCGGCCTCCGGGCTGCGCTGCCCGCCGCGCCCCCGTCTCCTTGCCGGTGCGCCCCAACTCCTGGAGGCCAAGTTCACCCAGCCCCCGCCACCGCCCTCTCCCTGCAGCCGCCTGGGGTGCTAGAGTCGGCGCCCTAGCCCCAGCTCGGGGCGGCCTGGGTGTGAGGGAATTTTCCATTCGTTTCTTTCTCGGGCCCAGACCGGCTCAGGGCTTCTCCCATAAGGATGTTCTCGTGGCTTGAGCGTCTGCAGCGAGCACTGAAATGTCTCTCTCTGGGAGGGTTTTCGGGGGTACACTAAGGGTGGCAGAGCTATTTTTGAAAAAAAAAAAAAAGTCCCAGTACTGGGGTACCGGTCTGATACCTTTAACAAATGAGGGGGAAAGACGCGAGGGCTGGGGGAGGCGCGGGAGGAGGAGGAAGGTGGGGGGCGGGGGGTGTGGAGAGGCTGGTGCAAAAGGAACGCGCGTTTGGAGGAGGAGGAGTAAAGCGGTGATTGTGTAATTAAATAATAAAACAATCCTTAAGTCTGATTTGGAGAGAGCTCGAGCGGGGTCCAGAGGGTGGAACCGGTGAATCTTTCAACTTGCAAGTTTTTCAAGGAAAGAAAGCGAGAGAGGGAGGGGGAAAAGCGCCCAGTACAGAAAAGAGGAGTTTGCAACTGAGCGGGATCGATCGTTTGGGAATTTTTCAGGAGGTCCTTCCGATCCTTTTCGTGGGCTGCGGGCAGTGGCACCGGCAGCGGCGGCGTCCACGCTCGGCGGGTCAGACGCGGGGCGCGGCGGGAGGGTGGCTGTGCAGTGGGGCCCGAGCGCAGCAAAGTCTTTTCCGCCCGGGAGCTCCGTGCTCGCGCCCCCTCCCTTACCCCGGCCTCTCCCTGCTCCCCCCCTCCCCACCCCCCACCCAGCCCTCTCTGGCGCGCGCCCCGCCACCCGCGCGCACTCGCTTGCGCTCCCCCTCGCGCACACACATGGTCGGCTCGCGGCAAAGTTTCGCCTGCGATCGCCACTCCCGGATCCTGCTGCAGTGTTCACGGCGGTAACCTTGAACTTTCCCAGCGCGGTGACACATTCTCCTCGCTTTCCCCACCGCCCGGCCTCCTGCGCCCCCCTCCCCGCCTTTTTTTTTTTTTTTAAAGCATTTCATCACCCACCACCACCCCAATCCAACCTATACTGAGCCCTCGAGCACCCCAAGCCCACAACAACAACAACAACAACAACAACAACAACAACAACTGCAAAACAGAAAACAAATCTCCCAAACCGGGCGACCAGCAGCCTGCACCGGCGGCGGCCTTGGAGAGCTCGGCCGGCGCGCACGGACCGCAAGAGGGTTAAAACTGTAGATTGGATTTCACTCCGGGAAATCTAGCACGCCGAGTGAACTTGAATCTTTGGCTATTTAAGGAGGACTGGGTTTGTTGCGAAGTTGCGGTGATCCTGCACAGAACCCGGTCCTGATTGATCGCATCGCGGGGCTCAGATGACTGTAAAATGAATAGATGAAATCCTTGCTTCTCGAAGATTTTCTTGGACATCTCCGGGAAAGTGCGTTTTAAGGCGAAGTCATGATGTATTCTCCCATCTGTCTCACTCAGGTACTTGTCTTGGTCGCTTTCTCTCTGGTCCCAGACGCCTTTGTTGTGTCTTGCTCTAGTGCTGCAGATCCTCAAAGGCTTTGCCTAACCTCGGCACACCCTGGTCTCCCTAGTGAAGTGGCAAGGAGTTGCGGTGGGCTGTGCGGGCAGCATGGGACCATGGCTGCCGTGCGCTCCCAATCCCGCGCCCAGGCGAGGGAGAGCCAGAGAGAGCCGGCACTGGGCGGGCAAGGCTACTGGGGTGGGCAGGTCTGAGACGGGCGGCCCCCGAGCCCCTGTGCGGGCCCCCGGGAGCTGGTGGCAGTGGCCGCAGGACCCTACCTCTTTGGCCGGCGTGCGTGGAGCGACTCCGGCTTGGGAGCAAGGGGATCTTGGGCAAAGGGCTGAGAGCCTGGCTGAGTGTCTCTGGGCTCTGCTGCCCAAAGTGTGCTGGTGACTGCCAGTCCGAGGTGGTGGTCCCGGCGACCCATTTCTTTGCGTATTTGGGGACCTAAAGTCCTGGTCTGCAGTTACCCGCACTTGGGTGTTTCGGTGACCCGTGCTTCAGAGGCGATTTTTAGTTGACAAGAGTTTAGTTGATTGTAGTCAATGTTTAGGACTTTTTAAAGGCATGCTTGTTTTATAGCGAGACTTGTTCATTTGATGATATTTGAACACACCCGAAAGGCATAAAGTAATATAAGAGGTCATTTTTTTTAAACTTCGAAAATTGCCTTAAAACCTAAGGAATTTTAGGAAGCAAAACACTGGCTTTATATTTAAAAACTAAATCCAGTTTCTATGTCTTCCAATCAGATGGTCAAATGAAAAAGTGGTTTGATCGAGCGACTTACCTGGGCGCGCTTTCATCCTTTCATGATGCCCAACGAACTCAGCAAGTGATGAATTAAATAGCCTAGTCCAGAACTGTTACTTGCAGCCGCTAATTAAACCCTTAAACTTGTGGGAGAGTTTACTGAAACTTTCAAAAGTATGAATCTAGATTGGTAATTGAAAATTTTCATTGACACTGTCACAGAAACGAAACAGAAATGCCTAGTTTTGGTGTGTTAAAGCTATTTTTTAAATCTAATATTATGATGATGCATTTTTATAATGAACAAATAATTAAGATTTCAGTTGTATGACAATTAGAAACCATTGTGATTCAAAAGGACTGCGGCATTCATAAATTGTGAATGAAGATGAAAACAATGATAAGGGGAATTCAGTGATTGGACACAGCCCTGTAGCTTTTTGGCTGACACATTTTTTATTGTTTATATTTTGTTTGGCATCTGAGTATGATTAACTTAGATATGGCTATTTTAAGCAAGTAAACGTGCACTTTAATTGAACAAAACTGGAGAAATGGGTTGTTGAGTTATTTGTATTTTAAAAAGCTATGAATGACAGTAACCCACTAGTATGATGGAATTGTCTCAGGTATAGCAAATTGCCTGTAGTTATAAAAGTTACTTTTATTTATTCATCAGCAGGCTTTTTTTTTCTCTCTTTCTGATGAACCATGGCCATATCTATTATTTCTTCATTGCGATCAAAAGAAGCAGATAAGAGTAAGCTTTTCCTTCATAAAATATGGACTGGCTTGTTCTCACCTGGAAAGGGCTGGGTAATCGCCTATGTCTCTATATTTGTATTCCCATCTCTTGTTTTTAGGAAACTGCTAGCAATTGCATTGCATTTTTAATCTCCCCCAAATAAGCATTGAAAAGTCACCAGTTCCCTCTTAATTCGTGTATGTTAAAACTCCTATTGCAGAACCCAGACACATGGAATGTTAGGGGCATAGACTGCACAATCATCCAACTATCACTTGGCTATTCAAGGACACATACTTACCAACATTAATTCAGGATGATGACTATATATTCCCTGTCATTTTAGCAGAATAAATCTGGGTCGATGTATTAGCACTATTTTTTTTTTTTTTTTGAACTTAAGGCCTAACCCAGAGAAGGAGTTAGGGTTTTAGAATTCTCAGCTAATAATCACTTTATGACTTTATAGGTAATTTAAGGTATTGCAAAAGTGAGAGTGCATGAAAGTGTTACTTTTGTATCAGATGAATAGTTTAGTTTTATGTTACAGGAGCCTGATAGTTGCCGCAGAACCTGTTTTGAGACAGACAGATACAAAGTAAACTACACTGTTAATTTGTTAGGAACTTTAAGAAGTACTCAGTTGTTACATTAACACATTTAGGTTTTTTAAAAATCTTAATTTAAATGACTCTACCTTTGAACTTGATATTTAGCTACCTGGTGTGGTAGCTACAAGTCAGCATTTGTCGGCCATTATGAATAAAAGGAAAATTAAGAAACATCTATATGCTTTAATATTTTACTTTATCTGCATATAAGCCTTTACTATAAACTTCAGTTGGCATGATGATGTTTTTATTTCATTGTCATTCATGTTCTTTCAATATTTTCTTTTCAGGGCTTATTGTTACATAGTGATGAGGCTTCAAGAGCCCGCAGTATTTACTCTTCCATGGCTATGTTGGACCAATTTTCCAACCCTTTATGAAATCATTGTTTCTGTGAAGAAAAATAAATAAACCTAGTTAAATTAGATTTTTATGTTTATATTTGAAAGTTTAACTTATCTATTTACTTTATCAATTTAGTTCAGCACAAGAAAGTTTTATAAGGAAAAGTATCTCACTGAGCGTCAATGTATTTTAAGGACAATTCTGAGTGTGAGCTTGCCTGTATATCTTAGTATGGTGACGTTAAATGTTAAATCACTTCTACGCTTTGATTTAAAAAATAAATTTGATAATTGCTTAGTGTAATTGTGGCAATCTATTAGTGAGGGTATTTGAATGCCTTCCTCCTGTTATTTTTTTCCACGTGAGGACAGCTACGTTCTACATTCATGTCATTTAAAAGTATTAAGAATGTATTACAATGCAGCTTTAGGAAGCAGTTATACACGGGAGATGGCATTTAGATATGGAATGCAAAAGTATAGTGACATATTGCTTGCCTCCACTTATCATTTTGGTATGGTATGTTTTCTTATCAAGCAAGTGTTCTACTTAAAGTTGAATCTGCTTAATATGGATGCTCCAAAAGATATTAAGGCAAGTGGGTGGGCTGAGAAAGTTTGCTGCTTCTGTTTCTCAACAAAGATAAGTTATGTTTAAAAACAATATTTGCTGCCAGTGACAGCAAACTCAAGACAACAGGATTTTTTGTTGTTGTTTTGTTTTTTTGTGAATGGCTAAGAGTTTCCAAATTCAGCTTCCAAATTAGTGTCTTGGTGACATGATACAATTATGTAAAATTTAAAATTTGTATTATGATTGATGATATTTATTATCAAGTATAAAATCTCAAAATTATTTAATCAAAAATTATGTGTGATGCTTTTTATAAGGAAATGAAATGTTACTGAACATAGTATTGAAGTATCTGAGTACTTCAGTGTTTCTGGGTTGCTTAATAACCATTAAATAATGCTGCATTTTAAAAAACTGTGCTTAGGGTAAAAGGAGGAGGACAAAGCACTCTCACCCAGTCCCTGCATCCTCAGGGTTTTCATTTACAGAAGCCTAGATGCATTTTTAAAATCATATCAGTAAATCACAGTAAAAGTCAGTTCCTAGGAAGTGAGTTCATAGAGCACATTGAAGTCCACATTCCCTTGAGCAGGCAGGCTTTCCTTTTGCATGTATTTTGAGGGGAGAGGATAAACAAAGTTTTTACAGTTACAGTGGGAGCTAAAAGCATGGCATCAGAAAGTGTATAGAGATAGGGAGGTCTTATCATGGGCTGTGGTTGCTGTGAGCAGGGCTGCCTTCCCACACAAAGAACAGATTGTGGTTTAACTCTTTGCATGGCCTCCTTTAATGTGTTCACATAGTAACTGAATTGTTCAAATCTCTGCTGGAAAGTACTGATCGGTTTAATTTCCTCCATGGCATTTGGCTATGCCTCATGCTGCGATGTAATCAGCTGCATTCTGCATTATAAAATTTGGATCCATTCTTAGTCGGCAATATGTCGGAACACTTGATAACCATGCTATTGATTAGGGGAGTCTTATACCTGTTCTGGGTCTAAGCTGCAAACTGTTAATATGTCGCAGTCTCCACTCGAACTTTGAATTTCATCTTTAAAAGGCTTTCACAGAGATATGGAATCCAGGGGCAGCTTCTTTGTTGGACTGTCATTAGTTTGCTTTGATCACCTTTATCTTATGACGTGAGTCACTCTGCTGGACTATTTACTCCATGCCCTTCAGAGTAACTAACATGAATGAGTAAATTCTGGCTTGGGAATGTAACCTATTAGAGAAACTTCTTTTGTGGTTAGGGTGACAGAATAGTCAAAGTGACCAGAAAGATGGTTGTAGTGGAGGTCTCCTTTGCATCAGTGCTTGGCTTATCGCATTCATATAGCGTGCACGCGTGGGATGCTGATCTCTTTTTCTGAAAAGTAATAGGCCTGAGCTTAAATGGCCAGCTTTACCTAAGTCAGGAAGTAGTGAAACACTGACTCCACTTGGAAGTAACTGGAAATATTTGTAGGCAGGGATGATCTGCTATGCCTGGTGGCCCGCTCCGTTTAAAAGGTTCAGATAAAACAGGCAGAAAAAAAAATGCAGGTAAAGGTAAAACACTTAATTCACCGGACAGTTAGGAGCTGCATGACTGAAGCACTTGTGGGCTCCTGAGCACATGCATGCGTGTGCCCATAGTCCTGTCCCATGTTCCATCTGAGTGGCACATGAATTGTAGAGATTCCACAAAAGCAGTAAATGACTCCTGGTGTCACCATGCCACAGCATGCAGAGAAACAAAGAATGGAAAGTTGGTGCCAAGTTGCCATTTTTTCATTGTTCACCTCAGATTGATTTTTAAGGGGTTTGAGTAATTGCCATACTCATGTGATTGGGTTAACAAATTAACTGACTCTGTGGGGCTTCAGAGCCTGTAGGAAAGCTGTGGCAAGAACATCATGTCATTTTCTTTTCAACTTTAAAACTTATTTAAAAATGAAAGTGTGTATGTAAAAGAAAGAGAATGTGTGTGTGTGTGTGTGTGTGTGCGCGTGTGCACACACACATGCGAGTGTGCTGGAAGCTAATGTTAGTGGTGCAGGGAGAGAACGCTCTGTTCAAAGTATGGAAACCTTGTGTTCAGGACGCTGATAGACAAGCTGTGTCCTTTGCCCACTTTCCCTCACTACAGACCGGTTTCTCTAGTTACCACTCTTGGAATGGTGCTGTTTCAGTGTAGGAATGTTGGACGTTTGATAAGAAAATGGATCAAGTTTAATGGCGCATGCTCTTTGTGCCACCAGCAGCCTCTCTTCCTGAGAGCATGCTCCAAAAGCGGGAACTGTGTGGCATTACAGTGAGCATCTACATGCTTTGTGTTTCTATGGCACAGAGAAGAGAAATGAACTGTGGCATCGCTCCTGCCTTCTGAGAAGCTCTGCTCCGGCTTAAAAAACAAAGCAAAGCAAAGCAAAACAAAACAAAACAAAACAAAACAACAACAACAAAAACCAACCCACTGCAGTAAAATGGTACTGCATAGTGCTAGAGTTGGTCAATCAAGTATTTGAATATTAAATTTGGTGCCAAGCACCTTATTTTAAAGGGTATAGATGCATGACATTGAGGTGGGAACGAGGGGGATGGGGACCAGAGTAAAAATACAAAACAATACCTTATTTTCTCTGTAGGAGGGAGAACCAGTTTATGAATTTTGGTGAGAGGGGGCATACTTTATTTTCTTCTTGCCCTGATGTTCATTTTAAATTAGGAAATAATGTTAATTTTTTTTTAAATTACCTTTTCTGCTGAATTGGGAGTGGATTGCATCTTTTGCTTTTGTTTTAGCATTGGAAATTAACCTGACTGTACACCTCTCTTTCCATCTTCTGCAGGATGAATTCCACCCATTTATTGAGGCACTCCTTCCACACGTCCGTGCAATCGCTTATACTTGGTTCAACCTGCAGGCTCGAAAACGCAAGTACTTTAAAAAGCATGAGAAACGAATGTCAAAGGATGAGGAAAGAGCAGTCAAAGATGAGCTGCTCAGCGAAAAGCCTGAAATCAAACAGAAGTGGGCATCCAGGCTCCTGGCCAAACTGCGCAAAGATATCCGCCAGGAATACCGGGAGGACTTTGTGCTTACCGTGACTGGCAAGAAGCACCCGTGCTGTGTCTTATCCAATCCAGACCAGAAGGGTAAGATTAGGAGGATCGACTGCCTGCGACAGGCAGACAAAGTCTGGCGTCTGGATCTAGTCATGGTGATCCTGTTCAAAGGCATCCCTTTGGAGAGTACCGATGGCGAGCGGCTCATGAAGTCCCCACACTGCACAAACCCAGCACTTTGTGTCCAGCCACACCATATCACAGTATCAGTTAAGGAACTTGACTTGTTTTTGGCATACTACGTGCAGGAGCAAGGTAGGAGCAGATTGTTCTTTCTTCTAGCAGGGCTAACACTGCCCATACATGTCCAGATATGGGGTTACTAGCTTGGGCTAGAATGTCCTGGAGGCCGCCACATGGCCTCTGCCTTCTCTGGGTACCTTGGTGTGCCCAGTTGTGCTCCATGTCTATGGTCATTTAGGAGCCATGAAAATTGACATGGAGCTTTCTTACCTCGATAGGCTTCTGCATTTGAAGAAGGACCAAAGGACAGACACAGAGTCATCTTAAGAAATAGTTATTGCACTTCATTTTCTGTACTAGGCTGCTTCTCCTCCCCCTTCTGAAAATTCAACTTTCCTGATGGCAGCCGAAGCACTGTTTAATAATCTTTGTACTAGTCTCTTACCTAACGAGGTAGATGAACTTTGCTCAGGAATCTAGTGGCAGTTGTACCAAAAATCAAATTAGAATTTACCATTACAAAATGTCTAAGCTGGCCACTATTAAAATATGTATCTGACAGAGGCCTAGGTTTATGTAATTTTTGTATTTCTATCAATAGTTCCTTTTGATTGTGCAGTATTCACTGTAGATTTAATGCAACACAGCTTTTATTTAAATAATTTATAATACTTTGCCAGTGACTTGGGAACACTTTCTATTATTAGTTTACTTGAATGCAAATTCATAATGCTTCCCAAGGAAGAAGTCACAGCTTGCTTTACAGAGCATCACAGAGCAAACCAGAAGGGGACTGGTTACACTGGTTTAAAATAAATCTCAAAAGAATGCAGAGACCACATACCGGACCGTGTTTAACGTCCTCGATAAAGAGTACTGTAAATGTTGCCTGGACAGTGCAAACTAGGCAGTGCTATTGCCAAGGATTTTTGAGTTAATCGGATATGTTTCTTTGTTGTTTCTGTTTTTCTTAAATAGGTGAGACTTTTGACTTTGTTTTCTTCCAATCAGTATGTCAGGATATAGCCCATATAGGAAAAGTCCCTTTAAGAAAACACCATCCCAAAAGTGGCCTCAAGTTTGGGCTGCCACAGATGGTGGGTCATTTCTGAACTTGGCCTGGTGGGAGGGAAGATGGCCTGCAGATAGCCAGGTGGCAGACAGTTATCCAATGCTCGTTATATAAATGTGGGGTTTAATAAGTTGCTATGTATTTTATTGTCATCCAGGAAAGTAAAATAAGAAAATGACTCTCATGACTCAGAACTCAGGTACTTACTGTGTACCCTTTGTCTTCATTTCCCAGTGACTTAGTTTTAGAGATGCGCTTGAGTGCCATTTCAGAATTTTTACTTTGATTTTAAATAACAGTGTTGGACATCATCATTTGGAAATATATTTCCTAATAAAACACAACATTTGCTGTTTCCCTGTGTTAAGATCTCAAATTTAAGTAATAATGGGTGAGGGGAAAATATATTTTCAGCTTTGATGTCCTAAAATAAAAGCTCATTAACACATGGCAATTTGATTGCCAGCTGTCTAAGAGGTGACATTTTAAGGTGGGCTGTATGTACACGTTAGATGGACTGTGTGTTGTAACCGTTGTGAAAGTCACTGGTTACAAGGAAAAGTTTTGCAAAGTGGGTCATGTAACTCTTTAGTTGGGAGGGAAAATCTGTACCATGCTCTTACTTTAACTCTTGATTGTTAGTCCCTAAGTGGATGTACATGCAAATTTGTCCCGGGACAGACAGCCAAATCTCTTACTTTTGTTGAACTGACAATAGAGACTGTCCTTTATTTGGGAAGATAGATTGAAAAAAGAAAAAAGAAAAGACATAAGACTATATGTATATATGTGTGTGTGTGTGTGTGTGTATACATACACACACACACACACACACACACACACACATATATATATATGTATGTGTATATGTATATTTTTTTTTGGCATGGCACTAGTGGTCATGATAATCATGAAGTTTAGAGCCAAGTCTTAGAGACTGTAATTTCAGGTAAAACATTGATTTTGTTGTTTGGTGACTTCTCCAGTATAAAAGCCATCCACTATTTTCCCTGTGCATCTCATCATCTGTTCCCTCTGCCACCTGCCCTTGCATCATCTCCTGTTAACACCTGGTGGCCCTTCTTAAGAAGTCACATCCGGGCGCTTTTGTGTTTTGTCTTTTTCAAAATTTATATCTTTTTATTTGTGAAGTACAGGTTGGTTGTCATTTTGCATTGTAGTTTATTAAAGAAAGTGGGGTTTAAAATATAAGGCTGTGGACACTCAGAATGCTTCATCTCATATCCTAACTTTATTTCTCTTCTAAGTATACAAAGTCATACTTACTTCATTCTAAAAATTAGATAAAGTAGTTTGAAAAGCATGAAAGAAAAATTAGGAGAGAAAAGCGTTTATAACAGAATGAGCAACACAATTACTCCCCCCCCCCCCTTCCTCTCTCCTTATAAAGGACTGGGAGAAAAACACGAGGAAGAACAGAGAGAATGCCAAAGATGGTTGCCACTGGCACCAGGATTGGCACCAGACCCTCTTTGTTTAGCTCAGGATGCCTGTGATTTGTTAGTTGGCATCCGCATTGCAGTGTGGAGTGATGTTACAATATATTGACAATTTCCAGATCTAGAAATGTCAATAGTCCTCTTGGCTATTTACAGATCACATACTTTGTCTCTAATGGAAGATGAAATAAAGATGGATGGATAATAAACTTCCTTTATTGACCAACTTCCCATTGCTTTTCTCTCTCTCTCTCTCTCTCTCTCTCTCTCTCTCTCTCTCTCTCTCTCTCTGTTTAACCCACACTTTCCCCCTTCTCCATCCCTAGCAACCTCATCTCTTCTGAAATGTGGAAAGAGTTACTGGAGCTTTGACACAAACTGTAGTGCTACATCTGCATCTGATAGAGTTCTGGGGGAACATTTATATATTTTGAAATCATTTTTGATATGTAGTTTATTAGGCTTTTGCATCACAGGGCAGTATATTTTTCAAAGCGCAGTGTCTTTGTTACTCAGCTTCTTCCGTGCATACAGCCCGATGGACCGCAATCCAGTCCATTTTATTTTTTTCTTTCTATTAGCAAAGGGTCGTATTAAGTATGGTTATTTATAAAAATTATATGTGTCTATCCCCCGCTTTACCTAAAATTTGGTAACTGATTTGGGAGCAACTCTATTTCAGTCCATAAAATCATCTGATGCTATTGATTCAGAGGGCTGCGCTTCATTCGCCTCTGCTGTTCCGTTGCTACAAGAACCGCCATTTTGTTTGTGAAGTGCCAGGCGAGGGGGAAAAAAAAGGCAGACACTGTGTTTGATGCCAATAATGGTTGCCAGTGGCACCGAGGTTGGCATCAGACCCTCTTTGTCTAGCTGCTGAATGCCTTTGATTCGTTGGTTGGCATCCGCATTGCAGTGGGCACACTGGAAAGTTTTTGACAATCCCTGAATGAAAGCTGCTGCTCGTCTGCTGCAGCAAAGCTTAGCTAATAGAAAACCCTTCCTTTTTTTTTTTTTCTTTTAATGCTTAAAAAAAGATTGTGACAGATTAAGGAAAAGTAATTCTAAAATGGGCTCCATATTCCCAAAGATATTAAAGATGTCCAATGATTCTTGGGCAGGTGGTACCTATTCCCAATACTGTCTTTGTTATTTCATTCGTCAAAACAAAGCAAAGCAAAACCAAATGAAAACCAGCAAGCCTTGTACAGTACACCTTCGCAGGACACACCATCTTTAAAGTACTGAGTGTGCTGTGACAAGTTTGTGGGGACACGCTAAGTGTAGTGATACGCAAGTGCACCCATGATGGCTGGCTGTTGCTTTCATTTACATCCCTATGTATTTCTTATTCAATTTCTAGTTCTCTCAGTTTCTACACTTCCTCCTCTTTTAATAGTTTGTTGAGAGGTCCCTCCTTCTGTCTCTAGTTAGTGGACATGAGAAAACCAGAAAACCTTAATGAGGGAGCTACATGTTAAAATCAGTCATTCTTGACCTCCTCAATTCTGTGCCAAGATGTTGCCAAATTCTTAGTGCATAATTCCACATACCAGGAGAGTGAGTGGGGGAGATGGACAATAAACCAAAAGGCTAAAATAATTTTGGTTCAAGTTTCCTAGATAGCATTAATATTGCTTCCCAGCTAACCACCATTATCTCATTAATTAATAAAAAGGATTAGCAGTTCTACCCAAAGGGTTACACAGAAGGAAGTGTGGCCTATGGGAGGCCTTGAGTCGCCAGACTGTGTCCTGTCTGGAGCCAGGAGATGCAGGGATGCTGGTGGGGGTGTGTGTGAGTGGCTGTGGGGAGGAAGCATGGACTGGGCTTTTGGGGAGGCAGGGAGGGGTTTAAAGAAAAGAGAGGTCATGACACAAAGCTTAAAGATCTCAGGAGATAGTGTCTGTTGTTATGAAGTTACCAGATGGGAGTTTAAAGCAAGTCAGCCTAAGTGAGTTTTGGACCATACTTTCCACTCTTACTAGACATGTTTTTGGAGTGTGGCAGAGATCAGCAGTCTTGCTTCTATCCAGAACAAGTAGCTTCCTTTAGCCTTGTTGAACCCTTAATATTAATTGTGATCCATTGTTGGATGGCAACTCTTGTTGCTCGATTGTTAAACGATGTCATAATTGACGTGTATTTTGAAGTTGTGAAAGATGTGACTTGTTTGGAGAGGAAGTTGTAATCATTATTGTCTTTGAAACAGAACCTTTCCTGCTTGTCACATGGCATTAGTGAGGACACACACACACACAGAGCGATTTTCCTCCTTCAGCTACTGCAGCTTAGAATCCTTCTGGGTAACAATTATTTCTTTATGAAAAGCTTAAATAGATAATTGTTTGCAAGTTGACAGCACATTTTAACATTTTAATAATTTTCACTTCATTTGCAGGTATTTCCCATTGTGGGGGAAAATAAGCTTCCATAACTTGTTTAAATGAAGCTGCTCTGCGGGGTAATTTGGTGGGCTCTCATGGTGACATCAGAGAGAATGAAGTTTGTGTGGATACGTGTTTGATTTAGAAAATGAC